GGAGACGGACTGGCCCAAAGTCACCCAACCAGCTTTTACGCCTAAGACAGGACTAGAACTCACATCCTCCTGGTTTCTAGCCTGGTGGCTTCACCACTAGACCAAACTGGCTCTCTTTGCACTTTCACATTGATCTTTGCATTTTCCTGTTGGTCAGCTGGAGAGAATTGACCAATAATAATATTATTATTCCCCACATTTCAAGGTAAGCAGACCTTGATATCAAACCACTTTTTGAGGGGTTTGGAAGTGCCTTAATATGGTGGGTTGTTCTCCTTGGAAGCCAAAAACATCAAATAAATTCATGGGTGTCATTGTCATGGGAGGCCTTCAAATAGAAGCTAGACAGCTTCCTGCGGGTGTTGCCCCAGTTTTGCATTTGCTATCCTGAGCACAGCTTAGACAAGATGGCCTGCAGTGATCCACCCATTCCACGATCCTGTTATTGCAGGAAAGCTCCACAGATAGGGGACCATTGCTGAAGGGGTGTCCACAAGGTGTAGTTAAAAAAAAAAAAATCAAGATGGTAGCCACAACAGTGCAATCAAGGCTCCACCCATTTTTTATGGGTGTTGCATGTGCGACACCCATAAAAAATGGGCAGAGCTATGATTGCGCCATCATAGCCACCATATTTACTTTCTTGACCACACCCTGTAGACATCCCTGCATTGCTGAAAAGACCTACTAGACTACACAACGCAAGCTGTGAGATAGCTTTACAGTATCCGTTCTTCTTTGGTCTGACCTGACTAAACTTGGCTTTGATCTGGACCAAGTCTTTCTGTTTTGGTTCCTATGTTCTGCTCCATGTTGGCAGGCTGGGGTTTTGCTAAGAGAATTACTTGGAGAAACTGGGAAAAGTAGCATTATTCCTGATATAAAGGACTGGATTCGAGAAATGTGTAATTTATCTGTTTCTGAAAAGGCCATTTTATCTGCCAATCAACAAATGTGCAATATGTCTCCCTTTGGTACAGATTTCCTGACATTTCACAGTAATAGAGTATTATAATTCTATTTAATTTTTCTTTAGAAACTTTTAAATGTGGAGTACAGTTCTGTGTACTCCAGTTTGGTGTAGTAGTTGAGGTACCAGGCTAGAGACCATGAGTTCTAGTGCTACCTTAAGCATGAAGCCAGCTGGGTGACCTTGGGCCAGTCCCTCTCTCTCAGCCCTGGGAAAGAAGGAGGCCAGGGCAAACTACTTCCAAAATCTTGCCAAGAAAACTTCAGGGGCTAGTCCAGGCAGTCTCCAGGCGTCAACATTGACTGGAAGGCACGCACACATACCCACGCCCACACCCATAAAACGTGGTGCTCCCTGAGTGTGGTTATTTGCTTGCAGACATTTCATTACCCAACCAGGTAACATCATCAGTGCTCAGAGAGCACGAAGAACTGCGCAGTTCAACCCTGAACTATAGATAATCTCTTCTGCTGGAACTATTATATGTTGTTTAATATTGATGAATATGTAATGTGTGTTGATAATCTGTAATTGCTTTTTTGTTGTTCTTTCCACTGTTATTGCTTTTTCTTTTTCTTTGTGTCTGTGTCTGTGTGTGTTTTCTTTTCTTTTTTCATTTTTGTGTTTTTTGAAAGGTGTTAAAATAAATAAAATAAAATTGGCAGGCCATTGTTTTTTTCCTTCCCTAAATTCCCAGGTGGCTGGCTTTTTTAGCTCTAAGCCTGTATTGTTTTTGAGCCTTTGCCCAAATCTTTTTTCCCAGGACCAGTTTTGATGACTAAAATTCTGTACCCCCACCCCCGTTTAAGCTACCTAGTGTCCAAGTTTAACCAAGTTACCTGGGCCTTTGAGACAGGAAAAAAAAAATTACCCAGACAATGCCTTTCTCCTTTCCTGGCAGTAAAACTAGGAGAATAATAAATGTAATAATTAACAAAGGTGCTGCTTTGACACTTAAAATCAGTCGCCTGAGATGGAGTCACTGGCCTTCTTGTCAAGGACCATGACCCATAACACCATGTCTACAGTGGTCAAGATGGGCTGTAACCTGATTCTAGCCCAATCCTGCACGAGTAGAAATATGCCAGTTTTTAGCATGAGAAGCTGATGCTCCCTGGAGCCTGGAATGGGTTGTTTTCCCACTGATGGGAGCTTCCAGGCTCAGCCTTTTATGCTCTTTCCATTAGCGCTTTGGGCTATTTTATGGTGTTTTGAACATGGGCACCTTGACTGGGAGGAGGGATGGCGCCATGTGTCAGTCTTTTGAGGTAGAGCCAGTCAGGAGACAAACTCCAGGAGAATGACTGGAACTCTACTTTATTGAGATATTTAATCTTGAAAGCCTCTTGAAAGTGTTTCCCCCTCCTCCTCCTTATACCCCAGCGAGTTGAGAGGGAGTCAGTTTCAGTTTCTTTTTCATGCTTCCTTCATTTCCTATGTTTTTATTGATTGACTGATTGATTTGATTTGATTTGATTTGGATAGCCGCCCATCTCACATTTGTGTCTCTGCGGCTCACATAATTAAAACCACCATGCAAAAAAACCCAGTAAATAAAATACAGATATCAATAAAAACTATAACCCTGTTAAAACCAAATTGAAACCAGATTAAAACCATAAAACATAATAAGCAGGCAAGTGCAAGTCACGCGTCCATCAATATCAACAGCTAGCAGGCTCCGTCGCGGTATAGCTTCTCCAAGGTCATCTCTGTGGCTGTCTGCACCATGACAGTTTGTCAGCCTGCCCTGTAGCAACTCCATGGATGACCACACCGAAAACCACCTCATGGATAGGAGTGGGGTGCTGGATCAGGCCCATTTCATGTGTTCTGTGATTGGTTGGCTGGAGGGAGCCTTGGGGATGGGCCACAGTGAGAACAAGCATGGGCAAGTGGAAGTCCCCTTAATCAACTGTAACCATGCACCCTTCCTTGAGAATAAATCCTGTTGACTTCCCTGACTATGTAGGTCAGTGTTTCTCAACCTTGGCAATTTTAAGATGTGCGGACTTCAACTCCCAGAATTCCCTGGCCAGCATGCTATCTGGAGAATTCTGGGATTTGGCTGGGAGTTCTGGGAGTTGAAGTCCACACATCTTAAAGTTGCCAAGCTTGAGCAACACTGATCTAGATTAAGAACATGGTGCTGTGAATGATGCAGTTTGGGGCTCTAAACATGATAGAGTTCAGGCTTGGTCTGGTTTATTTTATTTTCAAAATAATGAGGACATAACTATAGCTCACCCATTGCAAGCATCCTGGTGAACTCCTGATAAATCTTGAAGGCAGAATTTAACAAGAGCAGCAGACAGATGTACTATTTTACAATCTATTCTCTAATCTAACAATAGCAGCCAGCAGGTCTGCCCACTTGCAGGATACTCCATTCCATCCTCCATGGGTTTCCTTATTTTTTTTTCAACTGACACTCTATGCTCCATGGCTACTGAGCATGCTCAGACTTAATTTAAGTGCTGGGGATTAAAAAAAAAAAAGCTTGATATTTGTCCTGTTAGTATTTTCCTTTTTCTCCCTTAAGAACAAAAAGGCAAGCTTTTTCTTTCCCTGCAAGTATGTGGATATCAGACTGGCTCAATTTCTGTTGCCACCATCTGTAATTAGCGCTTAAAGGAATGAATTTGTGCATTTTGACATTTTCAGAGTACTTCGATATCCAAAGCGTACAGCTTTTATTATAATTAAAGAGCCAAGGTGGGCTGGTGTTTGTTATTATCCCTATATTGCAAATCAGAAGACTGAAGTCACCAACTGAGTTCACGGCTGCAGGGTGCTGATG